CAAAGGCACGAGCCACCAATTAAAAATAACCTCCCTTTTATTGTACAACCCTCACCTACATCCCTTCAAATTTTTTTGGAAAAGGAATTTTTTTTTTTTTTTTTTTTTTTTTTTTTTTTTTTTTTGTCAGTTAATGAGACTTAGCTGAAAACCTGGTTCCCAGAGTCAATAATTAAAACTGGTTTATCCTTCCATGTCCCAAAGTTACATGTTTTAAAGAAATGAATGACACCCGCTTCTTTTTTTCTTTTTTTAACACACCCTTTTGGTTTTTACCAGACATTCACTGGGATGCTTTTTAAAGACACTAACTCCAGAATGCTTCATTTCTTGAACAGCTAGCTCTTACCTGTTCCATGTCCTCCGGCATTTCAGGCATGATTCCAAAATTATCTCAGGAAAACAGATTTGAGGTGAGTCTCAGCCTCTGCCTCTTCTGCCTGGGTCTTTGTTCTGCCTCAAGAGAGCGCAGGCACGCAAAAACGTGAGCTTCAGCTTCACTCGACCTTTTAAATTAGCATTTTGATTCCAATCCCAGAATCTCATGCAGTTTTCCACATTGCAGTAAACTGGCAGCTGATTCCCCCTGGCAGTCTTGAAAATACCCAATGAGAAGTTTCATGTTTAATTGCATGTCAAGTTAGGGTCCATTAGCAAAACTATTGGGAGAACCAGTTTATTTAAAAAAGAAGAAGAAAGGAAGAAACAAAAAAACTTCCTGTGAAGACTTGTTGCAATTTTCTCTTGCAGACGAAAAGCAAGAGCTCACAGTTGGAAAGCACGCAGATCGTGCAGTCGATTTCGTGTCCTGAAATATTTTATTCAGTTATGCCGTATTGCAACAGAATCTAAGTAAAGTTTTTCAGTGCTTTTCCGCCCAGTGCCTTCTAATTATTTCAAAGCATAGTAAAAGGCACTGGTGGTAACAGCACCCAACAATTAAAATGCAACAGGTCATTTCTATTAACATTATGCTGCCTTCGCACTGAGAAAATGGTAGGTGGAGCAGCTTTAAGTATAGGTTTCTAGATGAATGATTTGCAAACCTGCCTGCACGATAGAAACTATGAAACAAAAGTCATTCTGTAGGAGTGAAGCCCTGTAATCTTACTTTTAACAATTTCTAGGACAATGAATACACTCCATTAAATTTTGAACCACTGTTCTGGACTATGGCTTTGTAACAATTTAAGAACAACAAAATGTCATATAGGTAGAACTAAGAAAAACACACTTAACTAAGAAAAATACACTTAACGCTTTATATTCTAGACACTTAGAGCACACAGCACATAGTAAACTCTGAGACATGCAGAAAATCTTTAAGTCATGGAGAACTAGCAATTTAAAAAAACTGATACATTTTATCAAAATAAGAAATTTGTATCCATCAACAGACAGTATTAAGAAAATAACTAAGCAAATCACAAACTGACTGGGGGGGATCTTTATACACACAAATGAAAAGGACTCATAGTTGGAATATTTAAAGAACCCCTACTGAAACTGCTTAAAATCATAAAGTTGAGGGGGGCCTGGTGGGCTCAGTTGATGGAACACCTGACTCTTGATTTCAGGTGGGGTAGGCGGAGAGGGGGTTGAGTTCAAGCCCCATGTTGGGTATAAAGATTATTTAAATAAATAACTTTTTAAAAAAATGCATAATGGGCACCCGGGTGGCTCAGTTGGTTAAGTGATCCACTCTTGGTTTCTGCTCAGGGCATGATCTCAGGGTCTCAGTGCTCAGCAGGGCATATGCTTGAGAGTCTCTCCCTCTCCCTCTGTTCCTCCCTCCACTCTCTCACGTGGGGTACGCTCGCTCACACGCGCTCTCTCTCTCTCTCTCAAATAAATAAATGAAATCTTTTAAAAAAAATTAAAGTGAAAAAAAAAATTAAAGCATAAAGTTGAGCAAAAATCAAATGGCTGCACTAATGCTTTCCCAAAGCTTGATTTGAAACTGAGTATCCTTTAACCTCTCTTCCACAAACTTCCCTCCTCCCTCTGCAAACCTCCCCTGTTCTGTTCTCAGCCTTTTGTTTCAGGAACCCAGTACCACCCTGAAAACTACTACAGAGGCTGGCAGCACCTTCCCAATTCCTGTTGAAATTGGCGAGATCCTCTTTTTTTCCCTATAAAACTCCCAGCCCCCTTCTGTAGGGGGGCTTGCAGTTTTTGAAGGCCTTAGCATGGTGTAGTTTCCTTTGCCTGGCAAAGCAGTAAAGTTCTTCTTTATTCCAAACTCTATCTTTGTGTTATATTTTGGCCCCTAAGCACAGAGGTCAGTTACCAACAGCACAACTCAGTAATTTTTTAAAAAATTGTTTTTAAAATGGACACATTTCAACAGATAACTTCACAAAGACATAAGAATGGCCAATTATCACGTAAAAATATGCTCAGCATCTGGGAAATGCAAACTAAAATCATATTGAAACATTGTCATCAGCCAGACCCCAAGACTTGACTTTTACTGCTCACCTATTCTTACTCGCTGACCTTTGTCCCACATTTTTCCTTAAGCTCCTCTTTGCAGCTTAGCTCAGACAAAAGACCTGCAGGAGCTGCATAGCACCCATACTGTGATGGAAAGTGAAACTACCTTTCAAGAAATAAGGAATGACTGGGCAGATCCCCTGAATACCACCCAGAGCAGTTTGAGCTCAAACCCTGGCTCACACCTGCACAGATGGGCCATGGATTGACCTGTGAAGTGACCCAACAGTTAGCGTTTCCTCATTATAATACTCTATTATTATATAATACTATATGAAATCTCTACCCAAGGAAACGGGAACACAAGCCTCATTTACTCAACATAAAATATATGAATAGCATGTTTCTTTTCAGTGCCTGTGCGACCCTATGCCCGCCT